CAACAAAGTCAAATGCAAGGAATCCATGTACGTAGATCTGCACTGATACCCAAGCCTGCAATGGAGCATGAAGGAGAGACGCGTAACTAAAGCCAAATGGGACCAGACGTCACCTGGCTTAATGGGGTCCGTGTCCTGGTTCACAAACATGTCAGATTTTGGGATATTCTAGAGATATTCTTATTAATAAATACATTAAATATAAAATAGAATTCAAACATTTTTTAAAAACATCAATGTCGTGTTTTCAATAAAACATCCGTAGTAGTTAGCAAGCTTCTTTATTTTAACGTGGCTCACATCCATGTACGTAAACATAACCTGCCGCTGCTTCTACGACACAGTATATATCACAATTTGGTTAGACAGCCCCCTAGTGGTGAAGCTGAACTACCCACATAACTCCTATCAACACATCCCCTTTTCTTTAGATGTTATCTGCTGAACAACACTATGGAAACATACCTAACATTGCATAGCTTGAATAACATCACAAACACTTGTGACAGTGTAAACTACGGAACACACAATAATGCAGAAAGTTCCTTTTTGATATATGTATATATATCTAGCTATATATGTATACACCAACATATACATATATATATATGCTTAAAGGTTTAGTCTATCAGGTGGCTTGATAGAGCGTGCTGATCTTCTGACAATGGGTGACTGGTCTCTTTGCTCCACACTGTCCTTCACGGGTGTTGTTGGTTCAGGTGGTGTGTTGTTGTCATCACACTGTCCTTCCGATGGTCCCATTGTCTTTTGAGTGTACAGTAAACTCCTCCGATTTCTCCTTAATATCAGTCCATCTTCAGTTTTCACATTGTACGATCTTGGGTTTACCTCCTCCAGTACAGTTGCTCTCTTTTCCCAGATGTTTGCATCTTCCACTCTGACTGCTTCATTGGGTGCGAGTGGTTTTAGACTTTTCGTCTCTTCTGCAACTGTTTCATTTTGTCTCTCACTTGTTTATGTTTCCTGGTTGTTGTGTAAGGAAGAGTGGTCCGTAGTTTTCTTCCCATTAATATTTCTGCTGGTGACTTGCCATGCTCCAGTGGTGATGCTCTGTAGCTCAGTAGTGCCAAATAAGGATCTGCCTTACCATCTTGTTCTTTCTTTAGTAACTGTTTCACAATGTGCACACCTTTCTCTGCTTTCCCATTGGACTGTGGATGCAGGGGGCTTGAGGTCACATGTTTAAAGTCATATTCCTGAGCAAATAGTTGGAATTCTCTACAACTATAGCAAGGTCCATTGTCACTATGAACAATCTGTGGTATCCCATGTCTAGCAAATATTGATTTCATGTGCGTTATGACACAAGTAGCTGACATGTTGGACAATAATGCCATCTCTGGATAGTTTGACAAGTAATCAATAACCAGCAGGTAGTTTTTTCCTCCTAGGTGGAAAATGTCTGTTCCGACTTTCTGCCATGGTTCCTCCGGTATGTCTGTCTAGCCAGGATAAAGCCATACCTTCCGGCTGACGTCTTCGAGCGTATCATCCACCTTTTTCTTACTTGCAGATTGGACTACTGCAATTCATTGTATTATGGCCTAGATCATGCCACCATCCATCGCCTTCAGATGGTTCAAAATGCTGCTGCTCGCTTGCTAACCGGTACCAAACGGAGAGAGCATATAACCCCAATTTTAGCCTCTTTACACTGGCTCCCTGTCCCCTACAGGATCCAATTTAAACTCTTACTTTTTGTTTTTAAGTCACTCAACGCCCGAGCCCCCCCTACTTGTCAGAGCTCCTCTCTGCCTATGCTCCAGGAAAACCCACGAGATCTAGTTCAAAACTATTGTTGTCCATTCCACGGACTAACCTCAAATCTCGTGGTGATAGATCCTTCTCTGTGGCAGGTCCCAGACTTTGGAATAGTCTCCCCTTTAATATTAGATCTGCTCAAACTCTTGAGCAATTTAAATCTTTACTAAAGACACACTTTTACGCTCTGGCTTTTAACACATTAAGACCCAAGCATTTTGGATTTATCTGAATTAGTTAGTATTGTTTCAATTCTTCTATTTTATTGTTTCTATTGTTATTATTGCATTACACTGTAGTTTTTAATTTTATTGTTATTGTTAAGCACTTTGTGCAGCATCGGCTATTGGAAATGTGCTATATAAATAAATCTGACCTTGACCTTGTTATGGTCAGAGGCTCTTTTGGTTGTTTTGCCTGGTGTTTGATACACGTATCACAAGTGGAAATCATTTGCTCAATGTCTGCATTTATACCTGGCCAATAGACTGCTGTTCTGGCTCTCCGTTTGCATTTCTCTATGCCTAGATGTCCCTCATGCAGTCTTTTCAGGATGTCTCCTCTCAGTGAGTGTGGAATTACTACTCTGTTTTGTCTTAGCAGAAGTCCATTCACAACACTTAGTTCTGCTCTTATGTTGTAGTATGTTTTGCATTCACCTCTTGGCCATTTCCCATTCAACAGTGTTATAACTCTTTGCAGACTAGAGTCATTTTGTGTTTCAGCCTTGATCTGATGTGATTTTCTGTCTGACACAGGAAGTGACTCTGCTACCAGGTTTACATGTATATTTACATCCATCTCTGTGGAGCTTTGCTCTTTGTTTGGGGTTGTGGCCCTAGAGAGTGCATCTGCTAACACAATGTGTTTACCTGGTGTGTAGATCAAGTTGAAATCATAGCGCTGTAGTTTCATCATCAATCTTTGAATGCGTGGAGACATTTCACTTAAGTTTTTCTTGATTATGGCTATCAATGGCTTGTGGTCAGTCTCTGCCACAAATGTTGGCAAACCATAGACATAGGTGTGGAACTTTTCAAATCCAAAAACAAGCCCCAATGTCTCTTTTTCTATTTGGGCGTAGCGAGATTCTGTCTCTGTCATTGCTCTTGAGGCATATGCCACTGGCCTCCAGTGGTCTCCATAAGCCTGCAACAACACTGCGCCGATCCCGGCCTTCGATGCATCTGTTGACACTTTTGTTTTTCTTTTTGGATCAAAATACGCCAAAACTGGCTCTGTTGTAAGTGTCTTTTTCAGTTGTTGCCACTCGTTTTCCAGTTCTTCATTCCATCTGAACTCGCAGCTATTGTGTAGAAGCTGTCTCAGGTGCACTGTTTTGGCCGCCAGGCTTGGGATGAATTTTCCAATAAAGTTAACCATTCCCAGGATTCTCAACACACCTTTTTTATCTTCAGGACGTGGCATTTCCAGTATAGCTCGTAGCTTTTCCTTGTCCGGCTCGATGCCTTCAGCTGTCAGCTTGTCACCGAGAAAGGTAATGTCACCCACGCCAAACTGACATTTTACTCTGGTACAGTTTAAGTCCATAACGTTTCACCCTTTCCAAAACCTTTACTAGTCTCTCATTGTGCTGCTGTAGTGTGGATCCCCACAAAATGATGTCGTCCATATAAACTCTGACTCCCTCGATTCCTTCGATCATATGCTCCATGGTCCTGTGGAATATCTCAGGAGCTGAAGAAATTCCAAAAGGCATTCTCAAGAAGCAGTAACGCCCAAATGGCGTGTTGAACGTGCAGTATTTTGTACTGTCCTCATGAAGTTTGAGTTGCCAAAATCCTTGGGACGCATCTAGTTTGCTAAAAAATTTTGCACCAGCCATTTCACTTGTTATTTCTTCTCTTGTAGGTATCTGGTAATGCTCTCTTTGTATGTTAGCATTTAAGTCTTTCGGATCCATGCAGACTCTAAGAGCGCCGGTTGGTTTTTTAATGCACACCATGGAGTTAACCCATTCAGTAGGTTCTTCAACTTTTCTTATGACTTCCAGTGCCTCCATCCGCTCTAGTTCCTCTTTAAGCTTGTCTTTAAGAGCAGCTGGAACACGTCGAGGTGCATGAACCACAGGCTGAGCTCCTTCTTTCAGCTTTATCTTGTAGGTGAAGGGTAAGACTCCAAACCCCTTGAATATGTCTGGGTACAGATCCACGATTTCTTTCACACTTTTGGGCTCAGAGCTGTTTATACTGTATACCCGTCTGACTAGGCCGAGTCTCTCACATGCTTTATCTCCCAACAGAGATTCATGTCCCTCTGGCACAATGATAAACATCAGACTGTGATATTTTCCTTTTACTTGTACCCGGAGCCTGCATTTACCTTTGGTTTTGATTGGTTCTCCATTATATGCTTGGAGTAAACTGTTATTTTGGAATATGTGTGGTTTCGTTTTCATCGCTTTCACATCCAGCTCATTCACCAGATTAGCCTTGGCTCCTGTGTCCAGTTTGAAAGTTACCAGGGCTCCGTTCACTGGTAACATCTCTGTCCATTTGTCCTGCTTCACTGTACTGACTGCAGGTTGGTCCATGGGTGTATCTTGCTGCATTACCATTCCCACAAAAAACGTGTCACTGAGAGCAGTTTCTTCTACTGTGTGTACTCTTTCTTTTTGTTTATTCTTTGAAAAACATTGCTTGGCAAAATGGTTTTGTCCATTGCATTTTTTACCATAAGCTGGGCATTGTTTCCTTCCATGTTTTGTGCCACATCTTTTGCACAAGAAAGTGTCTTTTGATTCTTTCTGTTCTTTTTTGTACGTGCGCCCTGCCTGCCGTGTATTAACTGCAGCTACAGCTGTGCTTTCCGTGTCTGTTTCCCTTGGCGACCTGCTGAAGGTTTTTGCATGTTGTATGGCGAGCTCGCTGGCATGACATACTTTCACAGCACTTGCTAAAGTCAGATCCGCCTCTCTCTGAAGCCTCTCTCTTATCTTTATATCTTTTATTCCAAATACGATCTGATCTCTTATCATAGATTCTTGCAGCTGTCCAAAATTGCATGTTCTTGCCTTTAACTTGAGGTCAGTCAGAAACGTATCAAAACTCTCTGAAGGTTGTTGTATACGTGACCGAAAGACGTACCTCTCAAATGTTTCATTCTTTTTGGGCGAACAGTGTTCATCAAACTTTCTCACTACTTCGCCAAACTTTTCTTTGTCTTCTGCAGTTGCGAACACAAACGTGTTATATACTTCCACCGCTTGTGGACCTGCTACGGTAAGAAGCAGTGCAATCTTCCGTGTATCAGGCTTACTATCTAGGCCGACAGCTTGCAGGTATAGCATAAACCGCTGTTTAAAAGTTCGCCACTCACAGTCCACATTTCCGTTCCAGTTGACGGCATCTGGTGGCTTAACACTGTCCATGATGACCTGCTTTACTGGTTCACTCCTGGTACCATGTCGTGTTTTCAATAAAACATCCGTAGTAGTTAGCAAGCTTCTTTATTTTAACGTGGCTCACATCCATGTACGTAAACATAACCTGCCGCTGCTTCTACGACACAGTATATATCACAATTTGGTTAGACAGCCCCCTAGTGGTGAAGCTGAACTACCCACATAACTTCTATCAACACAATCAATACAAGATAAACATGAGTAAAAGAATTTTAAATGAATGATAAATATCTCAAACTGGGTCAAACACCAAGCAGAAGACGTGGATCTTTAGACTGGGTTTAAGAATTGGCAGTGAAGAGACCTCTCTAATGTGAAATGGGAACAAATTTCAAAACTTGGGACCCGCTGCGGCAAAAGTCCGTCTGAGCCTCCGCTGTGTCCTCGACACATCCAGGAGCAGTCGGTTAGTTGATGTGAGCGGAAAAGCAAGTGCAGCTCAGAGAGGGAAGGTCGGGGGAGACCATTTAAGCACTTTACTGTTTCTTTGGCTTTCTGTCTCAGCTGAAAGAAGACAAAGGTGTATAAAGCTGACTTTAATTGCAATTGTTGTATTTGGGTTTTCTCTACTTCATTCTGCTTTTACAGAGTAATTATTTAGTGTCTGTGGCTGAACTTCAACACACAATGGCAGAAAAACCCTTGATAGACTGGGACAGTGGTCTCTTGGATTGCTTTGAGGATGCGAGTACTTGTAAGATGAACTCTAAGATCTTTTTCTTGTCATTTCTGGGGTCTTAGGCACTTCAGACATGTTAACACTTTGGTGATGTATTTCTGTTTTTCAGGCTGCTATGGTTTCTGGTGTGGCCCCTGCCTCGCCTGCACCGTTGCTGGAAGGTTTGGAGAGAACAACTGTCTCCCTTTGTGTGATATATGCTGTTGTGTTGTGTCGAGAGTCTTTGGCCTTCCAATTTTTCCACCTCCTGCAGTCTTGTCTTTAAGGGCTGCCATGCGAAACAGATATGGCATCAAGGTATGAAGCAGTGACAGTGAGACAATGTCATGAAGCAGAAAAGGAGAAATAAATAAATAATGGTTTTACCGTCTCTCTGCAGGGCTCTCTCTGTAAGGATATTGCAATTTCCTGTTGCTGCGCCACGTGCTCCTGGTGTCAGATGCATCGTGAGTTAAAGCATCGTAAGCAAGCCCCCACTGTGGTCAACATACAGAATAACAACATTGTGAACATGCAGCCTGTTCCAGTCATGCAGGCACCCATGATGATGCCTGTACAATCAGTGCCAGCTGCTTATATGGCTCAACCAGCAGTCACTGTGATCACACAGTGACGCAATCCGAGTTTGTGTTGATGTTTCTATCAGTGAAATGAGGCAATGAAGTCATTTTGAATTGAGAGTATGGTTAAATATTTCTATCAGCTTCCTAATAATCATAAAAATTACATTTAGTTTAAATGCATGAGTCGCCTTTTTAGATTAGTCACTGCATAGCTTCAGTAATAATGCAGAGGATTGAATTTTAGTCTTAATTTTTCTGCTAATGAGAAAAACATAGTTGCATGTAGAGAGCTAAACGTGGTGTTAGATCTGCTCTGATGTTAAAACTGATGTAAAGTGTTTTTTCATCAATAAAAATATGAAATCCAAGACATTTATGATCATTTTAAATCCTACTTTAGATTCACCAAACTCTGCTTCAGATCAGTTTACAGTTTACTGAGATTGATGAAGACCTGATGTGCTCGGCACAGCTTTCATGACACAAAGATCAAACAGGAGTCCTGCAGTGGCTTTTTTCATTTTTTATTTCACTCCTCATTAATTTGTCTTTCTTAAAATGTGTCATTGTGTGTGCTGTGTGGCAGGAGGAAGGACCCAAATGCAGGACTATCAGTAGGAAAAATTAAACTCAAAGCACGAAGCTCTAACTGGAAAACCGGTAACAGAGAACTAAGATGTTACCACAAGCACAGAGGCGAAAACACAACACGGTGAGGGTACGATACAACAATTAACAGAGAGAAACACTTAAATACTCAAGCAGGACAGCGAGAGAATGGGGAACAGGTGGTGACACAGCCGGGACAAATAATGAGATGACGAGGAAGCAAAATCAGACACACTGCACACAGGACATGGACTATCAAAATAAAACAGGAAGCACATGACAGGCACAGAAACAGAACATGGAGCACAGAGACAACAGTAACTAACAGTGACAGGACAACAACACAGAGACTCAAACACAGGCTGAGGTGATGCGACTAAGATCACTGAGCTAAAGAAACCCAACAACATGAACAAGAATAATCAAAGAACATAATTACAAAGACTGAAATACAAATACTGGGTCTTTGTGACAAAATGTCTTTTATAAATAGCAACACAGAATCCAAGTGGAGTAAATTAAAAACTCACGTTTTATATGTACTTACAATGATGCTTGGTGTCAAAAACAAATCTGAAAAGATTCAGTGATTACACAGCACAGAGGAAGGACAGTAAAGAAGGTCTATAAGGAATACCGAAACAATGATACAAATACAAACAATGAGATTCTTAAACAGCTGATAACTCTCTGGGTTTACATTAAATCTGTGGTAAGGAAGGAGGTCATATAGGAATACAGCTCACCGCAGACAAACAGCCAACAAGGTGAAACATGATATCACATTAAAATATCAGGAGTTCTTTGCTGTGACTTGCCTAACAAGTAAGATCAGGAAAAGAATTAAAAGTAGACTTCTTGGGTGATCTGACTATTTTTAGACTGGAGTCAGAAACAGATCTGCTTTCTCATAAAACAAGAAGAGAGAAGAATCAGAGAAGTTTACTGCTTTGTCATTTTTTCAAAGCAGTTTTGTCACACAGTGCCTCCCTGTGGTCACAATTGGCAATTACATAACACAAACTCTAAATGTGACTAGTGTCACTGCAAAGCGGAGTGCTGCTCCTGGATTCAGATGTATTAAAACTGGAGTTAAAGCATTACAAGAAAAACAGTCTTCAGTATCGAGAGTAAATCACAGTTTAAATCACTGTTTCAAGTCGAGTCCAACAGCTCTAAAAACTGAAAACTAACAACAAGGAACAATAACCTGTTGTCACGTCATCAAATTAGGAATTGAATATTTGCGTCACTTAAATGACAAAGAAACAATGACCAACAGCAGGTCTATGCTTAGTTAAGTTGTCTGACTTTTAAAGATTAAAGATTAAATAATGTGGGTGGTAGGGCTGTAACAATAGGGTTATACAGCTGGGTGCAACACACCCATGAGTCACGCCCCACACCCGTGCACCAATACAGTGTTTGCATTTAAACCAACCCTCTTAATCCAAAAAAGGAACAACTCAACTCATATGGCTCCTAAATACTGGCCCCTAAATATTTCAGATCAATAATTACGTCATACTTACCATGTAGGAGACATTGATAGACATAATCAATGCTTTATCAAACATTTAAGGATAAAAGTTTATTCAAAAATAAACACATCCACATTCATTCAAGTAGCCATTTGATAAAGTCACATAATCCTCATGACTCTTCTGCTTCCTCTAAAAGAGACACTTTAATGATCGGCCCGTCCAAACAACTAGTCTTTGTTTTAATACGAAGCTGACATACAGTCCTTTACCATCAGAAATTGCTTCCACAACGCTTCCAGGCACCCAAGAGTTACGAGGCGCAGAATCATCGACAACGATAACCACATCCCCGAAATGACCATCCATCCATCTTCTTCCGCTTTATCCAGGGCCGGGTCGCGGGGGCAGCAGCCTAAGCAGAGAAGCCCAGACCTCCCTCTCTCCAGCCACCTCCTCTAGCTTTTCCGGGGGAACACCAAGGCCAGCCGAGAGAAATAATCTCTCGAGCGTGTCCTGGGTTTGCCCCGGGGCCTCCTCTCGGTGGGACATGCCCGGTACGCCTCGCTCCGGAGGCATCCTTGTCAGATACCCGAACCACCTCATCTGACTCCTTTCGATGTGGAGGAGCAGCGCTTCTACTCTGAGCCCCTCCCGGATGCCTGAACCTCTCACCCTGAGAAGTTCAGGAATGACGTTCCGTCCAATTCTCTGCCTTTTCTGACGCTCTTGAACCTGGGGCAGGGACTCTTTAACCCAGCGCTTCCAGAACAGGTCAGACATGTACTGTACTTGTCTCCATCGACGTTGTCCATATAAATCCTCCTAAAACACTCCTGGTGGCATCAATGGCTTGGTCTTAAGCAGCAACAGATGGTTAGGAGTCAAATCAGCAGGATTACATGATGTATTAACATATCTCCACTGAGAAGGTTCGGACACTAAGTATCTCTGTCACCCGGTTTGCTACAAATACTTTAAACCTTGAAATTTCATTTCTAATATATTGCAAAAAGCAAAAAGTAACTGACTGTGCCATAACCCTCCTCGCTTGCATCTGCAAAGTGATGTAACTGAGCAGAAGCAACATCTCCAAAGTTAGGTTTAAAAAAAAAGGTCAACATTAAAATCTGCAAGAACGCAAAGATCATTCACCCAAACTGTCAATTCTTGTACAACAGTAACTGGCAACACATAATCCCACACCTAAAGATTTCTGCATAGTTTCTGAAGGATTAACTCAGCAGGCAACACAACAGGTGCCAAAAACCCCAAAGGGTCATAGATCGAGCTCACAAGGGACAATATCCCTCTCCTTGTGAGAGGTTTGTTTTTAAGTGTTCCTGCTGAGGTATGCCAGCGAGTACTGCTCTTCTGTTGCTAATCCATTTGGTGAGCTTAATGCCTCCTTTAGCACAAAGAGCAACAAGTTCTTGATGGAGCAACACTGCCTCTGCTTCAGACCCAACAGAGGTAAGGCAATCATCCACATAAAAATTATGTAGAACATTATTGACAACTTCAAGTCTGAACTGATCTCTGTTATCCTCTGCACATTTCCTCAAGGCAAAACTCGCACAACTTTGAGGTGAGGTGGCTCCTCAGGTGTACTTTCATTCTGTATTTCACCAGATCCTGACTATGATCTCCGTCTGGCCTCCACAGAAACCTTAACAGATCTGCGTCTTCTCTTTGTACTCTGACCTGATAAAACATAGATTCAATATCTGCCATTAGCACAACAGGCTCTTTACGGAACGCACTTATTACCCCAACTAGCAATCTAGTAAGAACTGGGCCTTACAGAAGCTGTCCATTCAGATACACTCCATGAAATGAAGCACCATAATCAAAGACAACCCGCAACTACTTCTTCTGTGGGTGATGCACCTCATGATGTGGAATATACCACAACCCTCCATCACCGCGATCCAATTCTTCAGTAGGCACCTTCTCTGCATACCCTTTGGAAATAATACCAGTCATAACAGTGGTGTAACTGACATGAAATAAGCCATCCGTGATAAACTTCAGTTTAAGGCTCATAGCTCGCTGTTCTACAGCCTTCTTATTATTTGGCATTTTTACCTGATTGCACCTGAAAGGTAAACCAATGGTATAATGACCATCAACCAACTTAACAGTGTCGATCACTGACTTCATAAACTGCTGATCTCTAGACAAAGCAAACTGCTCATTCTGAATGCATTCTGGAAAATCAGCCTTCATTTGACGTTCCCACAGCTCATCCAAATGTGGCCATCGGGCAATATTGCATTGATGAACATTCATGCTTTTCTGTGTAAATAATTCAAGCAAGTCACAGTAGTGATCTAAATCCAAGCCCACTACTTCCATATCTGAAACAAGATAACTACTGACCATCTTATCCTGACCCATTGTACGTAAAAGAATGCCAGTTTTCCTTCCTGAAAGTTTCAGCCAATTCATGAACCCTTCAGTACAAAATGAAGCTGAACTCCCAGGATCTAGAAAAGCGTAGGTTATCAGTGACTGATTATCCTTTCTTGGACTTCACTGTAACTGGTATTATGGACAGAGCACTATTTTGCCCACCGGCCGCAGTCACTTGCAATCTTCACTTGCCTTTTGACAAACTCAACAACATCACTAAAAACCACTTTAGAGTGAACCCTCTTCAACAGATCGGACGCAACATTTCCTGATTATCCCTGATTTTATAAAGCAAGCTTTTCATAACTGCTTGCATGTTAGCAGAGACATTAAACTCATGCAAGGACTCAACATCTCCCATTGCATTACAACATTGCCTTAATAAAAACCCATATTCCGGCAAAGCCTTCACATCCTCAGATTTTAAAGGAGGTCATTTACTGACCCTTTCATAGGCAGCAGCAATTTTCATCGAATTGCCAAAGTTTTCCAGGAGCAAAGATTTAGCTTTAGCATATCCATACTCAGCAGGCATATACTGACAGCTTCT